GAGTGAAGGTGTGTGTGCAGTGTTAAAAAGTATTTTTTTTTAAGTTTTACATAATGATTCACCTGTCTCTTCAAGACTATCTGTAACTTTTTCTTCAGTGATTACACTTCACATTTTTATATAGGATATCTGGCACTAGAGGTATACAAGTCTTTAACTCGGAGTAATCGAAGCCAATCCGCTGTAATAAAGCAAATAAACGTTCAATCGAACTGCAAGTGTAAACTATATCGAACGTAACACTGAACCGTTTAAACGTCATTGGTGATCAAAAAGCGTACTACCGTGTTGCAATAAAAGTAAATAATTACAAGCTATGCAGAGCGGAAAATAACCAAATATTGAACGTTTCTATGAGAGCCGTATTAATACTGTGATTACCGCATTGTGAACCTATGTCCGTTGTCACTGGGCTAACATGGGGCACGATATTAAATATATCACGATCATTTTATAATTCTACATTCACTATTGCATGCTTACTAGTGATCATTGTTGTTTTGTTATAGTATATACGTTCTTGTTTTCTGCTGTTTATTATAGACAATGATTCTTCATTTGTTTTTCTGATATCCATAGTTTCAGAAACATTTCCTCTTACCTCTTATTCTCCCAGTGCCATAACTTCGTTAATTACTTTTTTCTCAAGTTTTATCATTTCATATGAATCTAATTTCAAAAGTTCTTCTGTCAGGTTCATTATGATATTTAAAACAGTGATGATTACAAATATGGCGATAAAATGAGAAGCCATATATTAGTCGTGGTCCTGCAGTTGATATGCCTAGTTCATTCTGCATTTATATCCTACGTGGGTATCGGCGACTTTCATGTAAGTAAACTTAATTGATGGTAGTATCATCCTCTTTGCTTATATTCTCTCCTCCACATTTGTCTTTGGATTATTTTAAAGATCTAGCTTATTTTCTTCTTTTCCGATATGGTAAATGAAAATTCTGATTGATACTATGCCATGTGTCTTTCCCCTAGCTCAAAATTATTATTGAGTTTCTCTTCTTCTCTCTTTATCTGTTGGTAACATTTTCTATTTTCACATTTGTTTGTTCTCGTGTGTCCCTTAGACGTAGTTATGACTGGTTTAAGATGGATGTGTAGGTATAAAACTAATTACTCTTTGAGGAAAAACTGTCATGATCGTGTGTTGTGGAAGAAAGCTGAATCATTGGTAATTTTCCCGGATATTAGACTTTGGTCTATCATCAACATAAATTTAATAGGTACTAAATAATTTGTCATCAAATCCCTTATCTAAGACGATTTCTTTAATCTTTTATTTACACGAAGTTTCGCTGTTAATTTCTTATCGCAATTATCTTATTTCCATAGATGTTCCTTATACTATTGCTTTATATAGTCACTGTGATTTATAATCACGATCAGTCATTGCATTTGAATTTGTGATTCTGTTGCTATAGTTGTTTGTTATTATAACATTGCATCTCTGTTGCAAGTGAGTACGGAGTAATTTGAAGTTTGAAATAATATGATTGAGATCTGTGCTGCTCTGATCTTTGCTATGCAACAATCTTTATACTTAGGGTGTGGTTAAGCTAATCTAAGTGTAATTATCAATTTATTGACTAATTTATTTTTCAATAATGCTGAATTTTATAAGAAATAGCTATTTTTCATGTGAAACTGGTCTTTATCTATAGACTTCAGTAGTCTGTTTAAGAAGGCTAGATCATTGAGGTAGTATGGATAGGTAAGCATTTATCACAAACTTAGGCGATTCCGTTTTAGTCTCCGTGCTGACTCCTGTATAATTAGGAAATGCCAGTAGATAAAAATGAACATTATCATCATCGTCGTCAATAAATATGTTTTCATTATAGTTTATCCGTTTTTGTCTTATCTACATAATATAATACATATTTACAAGCTGCCCGCCTATGGAATTCCCATTCTACATTTCCTATTGCTGTCACACGATTGTCTTGCATATTTTTGTTACCTAAAGTAATATTTATAAAGCGGAAGAGTTGCCAGTTTGATTGTACTAATCTCCAGAACTACTAGTTCCAATTGCCTTTCTTTGTTGCATAGTCCATTTATCGAGGAAGGCTATAGCCATAAACTATTTGTCGTAGCGTGATGTTTTATCGACCAATAGGACCCGAGCTGTAGTTGAAATCTGGCAGTGGTAGATAAATATCATCATCATCAGCCAGTGAGAGTCAACAGTTGGACAACTGCAATAAAGCCCATCCAGGATCGCAATTCAAGAGGATCACATTTCTTTTTTATATTTGTAAGAAAACGTTTGGCCACCATCTCGCCTGGTGGTAAGCGATGATGTGGCCGACGATGGAGCACGCCTACCTATGAACAACCTGTTCACTCGGGACTTGAAGTCACCCAAGTTGTATTTGTCGGCAACAGATTCCGGCAAGTAATTCCATTTCTTAGCGGTTCGTAAAACTTTTATAAGAGAGAGATTTATAAGAGAACCATGTTGCCTGGTCTCTTTTAAATATGTCGTTCCTTAGCAAATATAAGTAGAAGTAATTCTCCAAATATGTTTAGTTTGTACACAGTGTACATGGTCAAATATAAGAAGAAGTCGAATGGTCGTGGTTGACAATGCTCCTTACGTAATACTAAGTCGGACAATTATGGAAGTTTGACAAATGGCGGGAACGCGGTCAAGGTTCGATGCCGACTGATGCGCAATCTTCATTATTGTAGGAATCGTATTTAGCATTTTGCTTACATTCTGGGCGCCTTGGGATTCAATGTGGTATTCTTGTTGTTTTTCTTAGTATATTTTTGTTCTTGGTTTATATTGTTCGTCTCTAAAATTCAAAAGATTCTCTTCTAGGCTAACCTGCGATAGGACAGAAAATTTCATCATTAGCGCGCCAGTAGTTTTGTAGTTTTTGGAGGACATCGATGTTATATCCTCTATTAGATGAATATTGACAGCATTAACAGATATGATTTCTGTAGACACTTATTGCAACAATATTATTCTTAATTTTTTTCTATAAAAGTAACGATCGAAATACAAACTAAGATTCCATTAAATAGAAAATCTACTTTTGAAATGAAGTCCAAGCTAGTACAAGTAAAACATTTCCCGATACGTAAGGTCCCAGGTTCAGTGTCCGTATGCTACAATGGCACATAAATGGTTTATAACCGTAGTAAAAGCGAGTGATATCGGTATACGCGGAAGTATTAACAAAAGGTTTTAGAAGGCAAAACTAAAACTATTGAGAAATTGCTTTTTTTTAAATCTAGGGTTTCTCTGGGAGGTGCAATAACCTTTAATATACTATATTTTCGACCCGAGGTTTTGGCAATTTTAGGTTTGGCGAAAGTAAGAACATATTTTTATAGAATGCTCTCAATTTGACTACAAAGTGAGGATACGCGAATATTGATAGCATTTTTCGACAGGCTAATCTGAAAAATATGGCAATTTAACAATCAATAGCTAATTTTTAAATTACTATAAAGTCGTATCGGGGAAAACCCAGCCAGTATCAATGAGTAACCTTTACAGTAATTATAGTGGTTTAATAATGGATGCGGGTCTCAGCCAGCCCAGGGATTAAGATAAAGTATTTATCAGTGCCTTATCATTATCTATGGGTACAACATCGTAAAGATGTAGTGTAGCAATTGTTTGCTGAACAACGGTTTTAGGATTTGTTAGAAATAAGGTCTCGAGGGACCATGTCGTATTTAGAAGATTGTTTTCGGCGAAAATGCTGACTTTTATTTCAGGTTACAATTGTGTTTTCCAAATCTGCTCTTGTTTGTAAGTCCTGTTTCGTCGTTAGAATTTTTCATTCACAATTATAGAGTTTGTAAGCTTGCTATCAAAATTGTACGTAGTTATAAGACAATTTATTTCATCTAATGGAGTTTGGTTTGATTATTTTGGCTTAATAAGAGGTACTATATTTTTATCATCTACAAAATTGTGAGTGCTTTCACGTCACCTTTTAATGGTACCATTATCACCGTCTCGTATTGTATTGAGCACTTTGTCACATAATTTAAAGGCTTCTGTTCATTTCCACTATCGTCAACTGTTACTTTAACACGAGTGAGTTGTGAACCGGATCCGTCTGATAATTCTGTCACCTAAAATGTGGTGTTATCTGTTTTCACGCACCACTTAGTAAATGAGGGCTCCTTCCTTATGTGACTGCTATGAGTGAGCCAGCTAGCGTTGTAATGAGAACTGTTGGACGTGTCGATGGTATTTTACATAAAGACGCACGTTTTGTTGCATTTTTTTATTATAAACGTTGGCCCACACTAGCATTATCTCCTGTGTCGTGGATGCGTTTACAAACATACAAGTTTTTTAGTTTTTTTTTTGTAGTTACCTAATTTCTTTAATTCTGATATAGGTTTGTAGTTGTATTTTCTAATCGTGGTACTATTTCCAATGGTGTTAAGTTTGAACTTCTGAAAGTTGCAAATGGCTGTTTTAATAACCTCCTAGTTTCCTTACTAGGCACAGAAGAGACTGCCCGTTACTTTTGATCTATAATGGTTAATTTTTTTACGCATCTAACTAAATTGAGGCCGATTAATAAAATTCCGTCACCTGAAAAACTGTCTTAACAATGAACTAAACAGTACAAATGTTACCCCACATATGTGTTGCATTACTAATGCCCCAGCTAACGACAACTAAGCCAACACGATGACTTATGTCCTCAACTGTACAGTCTGACTCAACTCAGCCATAAAACTGGCTGATAACGATATCGTGTGTTTAAACAGACACACTCACATACTCGTGTGTGTACAATTGGTCTCGCGGCGATACACTCCATGTAGCCGTGGATTTTTGTTAAATACTGTCAATTCAATTGAAAATTCCAATTTATGCTTGTTTCGTTTGTAGGTTGTTATGTTAGTGACAATTTAGCGAACTATAGAAGATTCTATGACCTATGTATTTTTAAAATAATTAATTTCCATCATATTGTGCGGTATTAACTATCTAACGTTTTGATTTCTTTCTTTACAGAAGATCAGCAAAAAGAATGGCGTTAAAGAAGAGGAGTCTAGTTGGTACTGGGACCCGCCGCCCCAAACGTCGAAATTATCCGATGATACTGAAGAGAATTATGTATCACAAATACGAGACCTACAAAGAGAGCTTGCCACCCTGAGAGAACGAGAGACTATTGATCGAGTGCTGCATCAAGGCCCACCTGATGATGAACTCGTCCGATTGAGAGAAGAAAACAAAAACCTTACCTCTAACCTAGAAGATTTAGACAACCAACACCAACAGGCTATGGAAAGACTACTAACTTTAAAAAGAGAGTTACAAAGCAATTTTGAAGATTTAAAACAAGAACACGAAGATCTCAAAACTGCTAATGAAGAGTATATAGCTGAAAACAAGAGGTTACTTACGACAATCGGTGAAAGGGATAAGGAATTAGAGGTAGCTAATGCAATCAAGGCTGATCATGAGACTTTATCGCATAAATATCAAAATTTAGAGAGGATACATGGTCTGTTGCGAGAAAACGCTGAAAAGTTTCAAGAAGAAAATCAAGAATTACATGAAGAAGTATTCAAGTTGCAAGAACAGGTGACAAAGTTGGAGCATGACTTAGAAGTAGTACAAAAACATGCAGAACATTTAGATATGGTCCCAAGAGATACTTACGAACAGCTTCTAAGAGAAGTGAATGAATTGAAAGAGAGGAAATTCAAATCAAATTCATTTAGATGAAATCAATATCGATGATAACGCTAAAGGTGTAATCGAAACACTGAAACGTGATATTAGCGAGCTAAAACATAAATTAGCTCAGAAGGAAATTAGTTCTTCAGAAAATGTAGATAATAAAGTAATAAAACCTGAGAAGATTATGCATTTGTATAATAAGTATGTTAACTTTGAACTTCCCATTGATTATGTTGGCGAAATACCTTCAGCTGGCGACAATATAGTTCTGTTCAAATTAGAGAGCGTTTTCAAAACCGTTAATTCTTTCAAAAAAGAAATAGATGTGTTAGACCATCAGCTATCAGAAAAGAATCTAAATACAAACCACCTGCAAACACAAATAGATGATCTGACCACAGAAAATGATTTCTTAACAACAGACATTCAGCATCTTGAAAGAGAGTTGAATGAGATGAAAAAGAACAATGATTTCCTCATATCTGAAATTGCTGCTTTAAAGAATACGTCCAAGTTGCAACCGATAATAGAAACACATGAGGACAACTTGGCAAAATTAGAAACGGAACTAGCTGACTCCAATAATATGAATAAACTCTTTGAATCAGAAATCAAGAGGATACTGAAAGAGCTGGAGGAAGTACGAGCTGAAAAAACTTCCCTTCATGATGCCTTACGGGACTTAAAACAGAAATATACAACGATGTTGGATGAATTTGAAATGCTTAAAAATCAGACTAAAACTGTCGTGGAATTAGAACATAATGCAAACAATCAAGATTCTGAGAAACTTAAAAAGACAGCGGATGAGATAGATGATCTGAAGAAACGACTAACTGCTGCCAATTCGAAGAATGAACAGCTGTCTATAGATATACATATTTTGGAAAACGACAAAGTATTGTTAACCAAAAAAGTCGATGATCTTAAAAATGTACTAGATGAGAAGTCTAATGCACACAAAGAGTTAGAAAATTTGAAATCAACTTTGGATTGTAAACTACACGACTTTGAAAATAAGTTGGATGAAGTCATTAGACATAAACAAGAAGTAGAAGTAGACAAACAAAAGCTACAAGAAAAAGTTAGTGTATTACAGGATCAATTAACCACTACTGATACTGAAAATAACGCAAAGTTAGAAAGCATGATGACGGAGAAGACTTTACTGGGTGAGCAGCTGAAACATATGTCTAAAGAAAACGAAACTCTTACGCAATCCATTGAAAAGTTAAGAACGGTTATACTTGATCTGCAACGTCAGGAACAAGAGTTACTAGATGAAAACAACGATCTTAAGAAAAACATACAGTATGAAAGGAATTCAAAAGTTCTTGAAGACACTATCGATGAGTTGAAATCTAAAACTGTTCATCAAGATATACTTACCAATGAAGTCGCTAGTCTGAAAGATGAAAACAAAAAACTAATTGAAAAGAAAATTCAACTCGAAGCAGAATTAGTATCGACTGATAGTAAAATTGCACATTTAGAGGAGGAATTTGATAAATTAATTGTAGACCTCAATGAAAAAGATACTCTAATTGACGGTCTTAACAGCACCATTCACCATAATAATATTACCCTCCAGAAATTAAATGAAAGTGGAGCTGAATGGAGAAAAGTATTTCTGTGAAGAATGAAGAAATACATAAACTTCAACGTTCTGTAGAAGAGCTTACTTTAAAACTCAATGACACTGTTGGTAAATCAGATCGAAGTCAAGAAGAATTGAACAGACTTCACGCTGAAAAGGAGGAACTCAGCAAGCAGGTGCTCTCATTAAATGACGATATCAATTCTAAAAACAATGAGATATCTTCATTAACATTGCATCTGGAACAAACAGAAAAGTCTTCAAATGAACTCAAAACATTGATAAGTAATAAAGAAAAAGAAATCAAAGAACTAAATCAATCAATAGTAGAATTAACTGATAAATTAAAAACTGCAGAGAATGTAATGCATCACAATGATGATTATGCCAAACTAGATCAAGAGAAGAAAGCAGTAGAGGCTGAGGTTGTTGCCCTTATAGAATCAGTAGCCGCTAAAGAAAAAACTATAGAGGACATGAAACAAAGTCTCGCATCGACTGAGAAGATATCAAATGAATACAAATCAATAATAGATACAGCAATGACTGAGAAAACGGAACTGATCAACTTAATAAACTTAAAACATAATGAGAGTATACAGTATCACAATGAGATACAGAGATTGAACCATGTGATATTGGAACAGACGAATGAATACAAGAAAGTGATAGAAGAGAAAGACAAACAGCTTCTGAATTCTTCTGACCATTGTAAGAACTGCGAGAACTTGATGGTAACTCTGAAAGAAAAAGACGGGATTATAGTGTCTTTAAGTCAGAATGCGTCTGGTTTTGAGAAGGCAATGGCTGATCTGGTAGCTGCCAGTGAATCAGTGAAAGTGCTGACTGAGAAATGTGATAATCTGGAGAAGCATTTGTCAGTACAGGTGGAGACGGTCAAGAAATTGACGGCAGAAAATTTACAGGTAAGAATTTTATGGCCTAAGAATATGTTTTAGTATAATAGCGTTTCTTTAATTTCTTTATGAGATCCAAGATAGTGCATGGCTCAAACATACATCGGACCTGATTGCTTAGATGCATTCTCTCTTTTGGTTTGATCTTTTAATAGAGCAAATTTCTATCGTTTATAATTAGTTGCAAAGTTTGAAAAGCAGTTGAGGTACAATTATTTAAAAATAAACAGTTAATTTTTTAATCGCCAACTGTCTTATTCTTTGGTGGGAAAGATTTTGTTGCTTCAGTCATTTTCTATCATCAATAAAATAAACTCATCATAGATAAATCATTTTATATCAAACTTTATACATGCCTCGTGTTTCCATATTCAATAAATACCACTTCTTCTTCAGTTGTCGGAACTAGAACAGAACTCGGTGAAGGAGTTGGAGCGACTCAGGCGCCACCTGGTGGAGACGGAGGAGAATTACACCCAGGAGCTGATGTCTTCGGAGCAGAAGCTGACGGAGTGCCAGGCCAGGTTACACCAGGTCGAGGAGAGAGCCAAACAGACTAGTACTGTTTATACTAGTAATAGGTAAGTTTTTTTGTTTAGAAATGGTTTTTTGTCTCTTTTGCCCTGTTGTTATGTTCTGTGATTAAGAGTGAGACAGCATGATTTTTGTCAGACTATATGAACATATTTTTTCAAAAGTGCCTTCCTAGTCTAATTGTTATAAATGATTTTGATTTTGACTTTGACTATTAATGCCAGCTGTTGCTATTGATTAAAAGATTAATGCTTGTGCTACGCAGTATTGTGAAACTGACTTTTGATTTCTTTTCTTATTCTGTATTTTTCTAATTAATTTCACTTCAAAATCTTCCAGCATCCGAGCGAACCAAGAAGTGGAGACGTATCGCAACCAGATCAGGTTATTAGAGAAACAACGCGACGAGGTCCAGGCTCGACTCAGTGACGCCGAGGATGCACGGAGCAGGAGTGAAGCAGCACTCACCAACCTACAAGTCGTGCTTGAGCAGTTCCAACTAGGTCAGTTTAATGTGAACTTTATTGTGGTGATGTAAGGTGTATTTTCTTTTGGATCGATCCTAGATTGGCTAATAGATTTACTGGTTGTAAACTTGTAAGACCGATTGCTGAGAAGAGGTTTCTTGTTTTAATCCTGAGTCGAGCAAAAATTACTTAGTTATCAGGTTTTTCGACTTCCTCGTTGGCCGAGTGGTCGCAAGTGTGATTGCCGGGTAAAGTGTCTCGGGTTCGATTCTCGGGTCGGGCAAAGTATTACTGAGTTAAAAAACAACAGCAGTAGCACGGTGTCTGGAATTGTGCCCGGTATATGGCAATAGGCCCACCCCCTATTACATGGGACTCATAACATAAATAGTGAAAAGTGGGTGTTACATTGCACAGTGGCATTAACTGCCGTAATGTGCCTATTATTCGGGGATAAAAGGCGTGATGTTATGTTATAGAAATATTTTTTTTCCGTTATTACAAAGTGGTTAATAGCTATCGAGAAATAATTATAACTTAACTTTGTAAATAAGAACAACATTGAATATTATAATGTTACTAAGTCCACCATTACCATCTTCAGACAAAGAACGTGACATACATTCAGCAACAGAAAAAATAAGAAACAAAATGGAGGAGCAACGACGACAGAACCATGGCCTTCAACTAGAGATATCCAGGTTAAATGCCAAGCTGGAAGAGGCACTGACTGGTCTCCAAGCTGCCTCCAGGCTTGGAGACCAGGTCGAGATGAAGAGGGCTGAGATTAACGACCTTAAGGAGCAAGGTATGTGGTGTTCTGATGGGGAATTTAGAAGTCAGATTCTGGAAGTATTATTTGTTTTTTGGTCGTTGTGACGATTTATAAGTGAAAGTAATTCTTATAATAACTATCGTGAGACATACTAAATTTACTAAAATCGCGAGTTACTCACGTGAATATACTGAGAAAAGCTCTACTCAGTGAGTTGCGCGATGTCGCCGCGACCGCGCACGCTGCTCATGAGGAAGAACCCCTGTGTGGTTCGAAACTAGTAGAGCTTTTCTCAGTATAATCACGTGAGTAACCCGCGAATTTAGTTAATGAAAGTAATTCATTTTTGACTGATCTATTGACTAATTTTGAATTTGATTAATATATGCAATTTGGCTGAGACATACCCAATATTTGTGTGCCCAATGATAGATCTACCAGTGATAGTTTTGGGGAGATTTTTTTTAGCAGTTGAAAGTTTAAAAACTTAAAGAATAGCTTTGAACTCATAGTGATAGTATTTTTATTTATACATTTGGGAAACCAACAGCTTTAGGACTTGATTGAAAAGAATGTGGCATGCAACAAAAAGCCAATTACTGGTTTCTACAATTAGTAACAGAGAATAGAAAATAATAGAAATGTCTGTTCTTTAGTCCTAGAAAGAAAAACAAAACAGGACACTTATGTGAAAAAAATGCGAATAACCGAATTTCAGTTTTCATACATATTAAAAAAAATGTCATAATTAACCCCTAACAGCGCCACGTGAGTCACCGGTGCTTGATGCTAGTGGAATTTTGACTTTCACAATTTTAAGTTTGGCAGTTGAAGTGTTAAGAATCAGTGACTCATTGCTTATAGGACCTCTCTTCATTTTCAAAGTCAGTTAATAAAACAACTAAGTCAGTTAATTCTAGATAAACAGAAACACAATATTATCATCGTCGTTAAAAGATGAAATTAATTAATACAACAACAATTAATATTTCCACAATCTGATACAATCACTTTAATTCCTTCACATTTGCTTCAGATTAGATTTTAATGCGTACATTCGTTTGAAGTTTTTGATTAAAATATTGTATTTGTAGAGATTAGTGATCATTTCTTTAATTGTTTTATCTGTAATTGTCAGTGCATTGCTAACAAATAGATTAGTGCCAACGTTTTGTATTATAGATTAATATCTGTTTGTAAAAATTCTGCACTGATTTGTGATGGTGATTAGGTATTTGAGGATATTTTCGGCGATGATAAATAATGGTGAAATATTTTTCTTTTGAAGAAGTTTATATTAAAACTTTTGTTAGACATACTATATATATATATGTTTTCGGCTTATTCACATAACTGTTCGAGGAACTTGATTAGTTTCAAGCCATGCTAAAGGCTCATATTCAACAGCAGCATCCGCGGCGACTGTCGCGCTGCTAGCCTAGTAGCACCCAAGTCGCGTGCGAAAATTAAAACACAATTATTAATTTTTAAGAATAATTCATGTCGACTTTTTAAAGATAGTTTGACATAGCTAATACTATGATTTTTGTATAATAAATGTCGTGAGATATAATAACCTAGTCAGTTAACTCCGCGACGTCACTGCGCTATGTACGCATACTTGAATAAGAGTCCCGTTGTGACCCGAAACTAGTAGAGCCTTTCTCAATTGTTCACGTTCACGATTGACAATAATTATATATATTTTTCACGCGGAGTATAATGACTTCTAAAGATGATAATCATCATCACAAATCAGTACAAAAACTCATAAAAATAGTGACAAATAGCCATTAGTGGAATAGAGCAGTAGTTGAGCAGTGATACGGTTTCCCGGCTAAATATCAGCTGGTAATTCTGGGGTGATGTCGCCCAGACTACCAGTTGGTATGAGGCCGGGAATCGAACGCACGTACCCACCATGACACATGTAAGTTTTTTATATAAATATGTAATCTGTGTCAGCTTTTACGTGTGTCCTGTAGTGAATGTGTTTTTGCCTTTTTTGAGCTGTTTTTTTCTGTTGTATTGTCTACTGTTTTTGGTTATGAACTTAACTCTTTCTTTGATGGATTTTCAACCTTATCGGTTTGTTATCCGACCTCCCGAACGGCGTTACCGACCTCCCGAACGGCGTTAGCACAATATGCTACGCCGACGACACGCTGGTGCTAGCGCACGGGAGGTCGCACCAGGCGGCGGCCGACTTAATGGCGACAGCGGTTGCGACAGTCGTTGAAAGAATCCGGCAGTTGGGACTCGAGGTGGCGCTCCACAAGTCCGAGGCCATGTGTTTTCATGGCCGCGGGAACGCGCCACCTCCGGGTGGGTCCCAAATAACGGCGGGAGGGGTTACCATCGGCGTCGAGACGGCGATGAAGTACCTAGGACTCGTCCTCGACAGTCGGTGGAACTTCATAGAGCATTTCCGACGTTTGGCTCCAAAGTTGGAGAGGACGGGGGCTGCGTTCAAACGCATCCTCCCCAACCTCGGGGGGCCAAACGCCTCCTGCCGGAGGTTATACGCCGGGGTCGTGGTCCATGGCCCTCTACGGCGCCCCTGTTTGGGCGTCGAACTTGTTGCGGCGTCCTGCTCGGACGCTGCTCAAGTCACAGAGGGTCATGGCGATCCGAATGATCCGCGGATACCGCACGATCGCTGGGGAGTCGGCGAACCTCCTTGCCGGATTACCGCCGTGGGATCTGGAGGCGAAGGTGCTCGCGCGCGTGTATAACATGCGCGCGGAGGCACGTCGCCGGGGCGAAACTCCGCTGCCGCGCCAGATAAGTGCGTGGCGGGATGAGCTCCGGCGCGATCTCATGGCGGAATGGCAGCAACGACTGTCGCAACCGAGGGCTGGGCTCGCTGCCATTGCAGCGGTAAGTCCCCTCTTTGAGGAGTGGCTTGAGAGACGCTACGGCGTCCTCACCTACCGCCTGACGCAGGTCCTCACCGGACATGGAAGTTTCGGGAGGTACCTGTGTCTGATGGGGCGGAGGAAACGCCCGGGTGTCATCACTGCGAGGACCGCCCTGAGGACACGGTGGAACACACCGTAGCGGAATGCCCTGCGTGGGCTGAGCACCGCCGTGCCCTCAGGGAAGTGATCGGCGATGGCGACCTCTCGCGTCCGGGCCTAGTGCAGGCCATGATGCGGAGCGAGGGGGACTGGGATGCCGTCTCCTCCTTTTGCGAAGCAGTCATGCTAGCTAAGGAGGAGGCGGGACGCGTGAGGCAGCGAAGCGCTGCCTCCTCGCAACCCAGCCATCGCGAAGGACACACCGGGCGTCGGGGATCGCGGGACGATCTCCGGCCACCGTAAGCGCGGGCCTGCGGACGGCGAGCATGGGTGGCTCCCCGTCCGACCAGAAACAGACCCGAGCGTACGGCGCGTAGCGTTCCGCGCGCGCCTCAAAGAGCCATCAGACCACCACAGATGGGGCCCAATAGGGCCGATGCCGATTCGGGGTCGCGGAGAACCTAACGGGTAACCGGGGCTCCGGCTCGACGTGCAGGAGAAGGAACGGGGTGGTTTTTAGTCAGTAAGAGTCTGACACTCCCTTCCGCCTCACCCAGGCGGGAGCAGTCATTCGATGATTTTCCCCCCTTAAAAAAAAAAAAAAAATCGGTTTGTTATAAAGTTGAAAATCTCTAAATAAAGTAAATGAATAATTTAAAATGTCTTGTATACACACTTTACGTAGACAAAACACTGAATTTCAATAGTTGTTACATATCAATATAAACCATCGAATAATAATAATTAAAAATCAATACATTATTACGATATAAGTTAAACTGTTTTAAAAACACAGTCTTAGTATAACAAGCAGCTTAGCAAACAAGAATCAAGACCAGCGCTTCTGCCTACCTCGGTTTAATCTCATTTGGTAACTGTGAGGTTTCGGACGGTGCGGCCGCCGTCACCTGTCAACTATGACAGATGTCACTTTGACAGCTGTCACATCTGACAGCTGTCACCCTGACAGATTGCATGGCGGGCCCGCAGCACTCAGATTACCATATGGGGTTTGACTGAGGGTAACGGCTTCACAACGTGTCGTCTGTGTGTTTTTCACCACGTGTTTTTTTATTTTGCCGCTTTTATATTTGAGATTTGATAATTTTTGTGTATGTTGTTTTTTGTAGTTGGGATTTTCCTGTTTTTGGCAATATTTGTGGGAAAGTATGAAAGAAATTCAACCTTGATACTATTGTTCATATGGTCTTATTTTGAATACTTTCAAAATGTGACAGGTCAAAATACAAATATAAAGTAATTGAAAAAGAAATAGAATTTTAATAATTATTGTTAATAAGGTTTAATTTCGATTGCCATTAGAATGTGAAAGTCCCAACTTTTACCTGCATTAGTTTTCATTATAGCACAAGCAAGTTTATGTCTTGCAGCACATTTATTGTTGTTGTATGAATGTAATGAGTGTAATGTGAATGTTGTTTTTTTTGTTTATTGTTTAAACTTGCTTTGGATAGCATGAAAATATAAGATAACTGTGTCGCAAGGAAGAGTGGATCTTATTATTTTATACAAAAAGTGTAAAATTGGATGGTGTCCAGTCCACCTTCAATTAAATCTGTATTCTGTATCACTTTATAAGTTGAGTAACATAACATACTCAGTTCCAAAATTCTCATAAGATTAATTCACTTTTATGCTACCTATTAGTCCGTGGAAGTGTTAAATATTTTGAGTCGAAAATCAAAGTCATTTTACATCATTTAAAGAGCTTTTAAAACAAAAAAACCTAACGAGTTACCGGGGCTCCAGCTCAAAGTGCAGGAGAAGGAACGGGGTAGTTTTTAGTCAGTAAGAGTCTGACACTCCCTCCCGACTCACCCAGGCGGGAGCAGTCATTCGATGATTATCCCCCATTAAAAAAATACATATAAACTTTCGTTTTAGCTCTTTGAAAAGTCTAATAAAGTATTTTTTCAACACAAAAGTCTTAAAACCTATCCAAAGCAAGTTCCACGTTGTTTTTTGTTGTCGTTTTATTTTTGAATGCTCAGTTTTTATAGTAGAAGATTAGAAGACTGCCATTATAGCCACATTGCTTCTGAGTATTACTTCAGGTACTGGTGGAACTAATAAATGGGATATTGGAAGACATTCACACTATATTTTAATTAAAAACAAAAAGTATGACCATAAAAAAGTTGGGGTATATATGACCTACGTTACCTTTAACAGGTTAACGTCAGCTGTCTAAGGGTTAAGTAAAATATCGGTTGATGACATTAGGGTTGATATTAGGCAGTGTATCATCAGCTGCATCATCGCTTATTATCAGGCGAGATAGTGGTTAAATGCTGACCTGTAAAAAACCTTTTTAAACATACAAAGTAATTATCACCCTGGGGCTGCAAGTCTTGACAATGATTACGAGCAAAATTAGTCTTTAAGTCAAAAATTTCATTAATGAATTTTGAACTTTAGTACATAATGGTTAAGGTTGAAAATCGTTTAAATAAATTATTGTCTTAAGATCTAATTTTGTCTATGACTGTGCATATTTGCTTACATAAAATTTTCTTATGTACTGTTATCATTTTGAGAATGATAATATGAATAAAAACATAATTTTGCCCTTTGAAAAAGAAAAAAAAAACAAAATGTTAAAAAATCAACCGATATTTTATATTTGCGAAGTTTTTTGATATTACACAAGTGACTGAGTGTTTTCTAAAGCCCTACCCAGTGGCTGAATAATACTTTGAAGTCGTGTGCGCATACGCATCGAAGCTACGTATGAAGATTTTTGCGTGCATGGTAAGAGTAGTATAGTTTTTATGATGTTTTATGTTTTTTTTTATTTTAGATACTTCGTTTTATGAGATTAGAGTTTTTTTAATATTGTGTGTATAGAGACTATATTTTTATTTTACAGTGTTTTTAGTTAACCTAGTTTTATCTAATTTATAAGGCTTTCAAATTCAAATTCAAATTCAAATCACTTTAATGCATCTATAGTGTGTACAGGGTTGTTTACAATTTTTTACAATATATGTTCCAACTATAGGCCCATTTGGGCACCGCAAAAGTACTTACTCTACTTACAAAATAAGCTTCCGTTAGGGATGCCCATTATTTATTTTGTAGAAATGTTTCAAACAAAATATAATTAAAATATGCTGCAAAAACATGAAAGCCCCTGAAAAAAAACCTCCAATGACCAGGTTACGGGTTCGAAACCCGTTTAATCATATATTAGATCAATTCCCAACGTGTATCCATGGACGACCCTGATTGCTTACCATCAGCTGATTCGTCTCCACTTTTATTTCACAAAAATACTTTAAAAAAAATATTCTCAATCAGTATATAAAACATAATATTAACACATTACCTCCCTGCCCTGTCAGTCCGCACCCTGCAGACGTCAGTGGCGGCGGCGGAGGAGCGCTACTACAACGCCATCTCCAACCAGCAAGACAAGGTCGACAAGAACCTTGTCAAGAACCTCGTCATCAACTACGTCATGACTGCTGCAGGGAATCAGAGTAATAAGTAAGTTAGTTGTTTGGTTTGATACTAACATAACATAATATCACGCCTATTCCCCCGAAGAGGTAAGCATTTGTGCATATTACGGCACTTGACGCCACAATGTAAACACTTACTTTTTACTATTTATGTTATGAGTCCCATGTAATAGGGGGTGAGCCTATTGCTATATATCGGGCACGATTCCAGACTCCGTGCTACTACTGAGATTTCTAAACACAAGAAATACAGTTCTTTGCCTGGCCCGGGAATGAACCCCGATACCCCATGTCTGGCAATCGCGCTTGCGACCACTTGGCCAACACCTTACACCTTCGGGGATAAAAGGCGTGATGTTATGTAATATGATTTTCAACCTTATTATTTTGCGATAAAGTTGAAAATCTATTGACGACTAAGTTATAGGTTAGATATCAAACTTAATAATTAATCAAATAAAATGTCAAACAAAATATTCTCTTTTTCTCCCACAGAACGCAAGTCCTGAGAATCCTATCAACAGTCCTAGACTTCAACCAACAAGAGTGTGAGAGGCTCGGCCTCTCCCGCTCTGCGCAGGCGCCGGACAGTTTGGCCGCGGAGTTTGTGAAGTTCTTACAGAACGAGTCCCGGCCGAGGGCGCCACTGCCGAACATGATGACGTTAGCACAGGGCAACACTAGTCGGAGCGCCACGCCCAGTTCCAGGAAGAATTCTGCTATAGGTGTGTTCAAGTTGTTATTGTTTTCTCAATTTTTCAGGATGGTTAGGTTATTATTAAGACATCTATAATTTATCGACTGCCTCGTTGGCCGAGTGGTCGTAAGTGCGACTGCCGGGCAAGGGGTCTCGGGTTCGATTCCCGGGTCGGGCAAAGTATTACTGGGTTTTTAAATATTCTCAGTAGTAGCACGGAGTCTGGAATTGTGCCCGGTATATGGCAATAGGCTCACCCCCTATTACATGGACTCATAACATAAATAGTGATAAGTGGGTGTTACATTGTACAGTGGTATAATGTGCACCTCTGCCTACCCCTTCGGGGATAAAAGGCGTGATGTTATGTTATGTTATCTATAATCTATATAAATAAAAATGAGTTTCCGTTTGTTAGTCTCGCTAAAACTCGACTGAACCAGTATTGCTAACTTTGGTCTTAAAGTGGTCAATAAAATCTCAATTATAATAATTTATTTTCAGGACCACCACCGAACCTCCCGAAAACCGGTCACAGTCGCAACCCGTCGACTGGTTCCAACAACCTTCTATTCAGTAACCTGGATTCCATGGAGACCGCATCACAATTCTCCAGGGAATCTGATAGAGAACCTAGGGTCGTCACACAAAGCCTCGATACAGGTGTCAACCAAACTAGAAACACTGAGGGAGCTATTTTGAAATCTGTGCTAAAAGATATGTGATTGTAACCCTTCTTTATAAGCCCTATTAATGTATATTAAATGTCCAATATCGGATGTCCAAAAGCGCCACTCTGATGTCCAAAATCGCCACCCATAGATGAACTTAAAACTGTGGCACTTTTGCATCTCCAAAAGAGATAGCAATATATAACAGGCTATGTTTTAAAAAAAGATGTGATAAGTATTTGCGTTGGTCAAAGAAGTGACATTATGGTTTTAGCACGAGCGAGTTAGATGTATTAAGAGGGAGATAAAACATCGTTCCTATTACTCAGGTTAGTGTTGTAGGTTGGCAACATTTGGAGTATTTTCTTTATTTGCAACACTGCCTTTTATCTGTCAAAGCGATATTGTCATTTTGAACTTAAGACATTTAACTTCCTTAATTATTACCAATTCAGAGGATGCTTTTCAATAAATTGTTGAATCAACGTGCATCTATAAGAAGGAGTCTTATTGCCAATGATATAAGTTCTAAAATTGCTTAACTGAACGTTAGTTTGAAACGTCATATTTTTAATTAAATAATAAATGATATTGAATTCCACACAACATACTCATTCGTATATTATTTGTTCCGTCTAAAAGGTTTAAAAGTATATGTATTATTATTTTTAAATGGCACGGATTTTGCTAAAATCGCACTTACTGCATTTGACATAAAGATAAAATTCGATGATCTGAAAAGTCCGCTGCCTAAAAATGAATTTCTTAAATGAATTAGCGAAAAATTTATAAATAGTGAAAAGTTTTTTACGATTTTGATATCTGTTAGCAAATGTTGCATGTACGTTTATTGTTATATATAATGGTAGACAACAGTCAGAATGTAGATACTTCAATTTCTACAAAAGTGTAATTTCCTTAAAAACCCAGTTCTTCGGCTTAAAATATCATTAATGTCACATATCACCCACAAGACGTCAACTGCCTCTCATGGGACTCGCCCACGGACTTCCACATATACCAGTTGGAAACCACCTGCATTTAGTAGATCGCTGCGACCGATTATAAATAATGTTTTTACCCTCCCCTTCCCTAATCTCCCCAATTCCTGAATCCCCAACGATCCTCAAACTCCTAATCCCCAAAAGGCCGGTAACGCACTTGTAACGCCTCTGGTGTTCCAGGTGTCCACGGGCGACGCCGATTGCTTACCATCAGGTGATCCGTCTGCTCGTTTACCGGCTTATGCCTAAGCCTTATGCTAAAATGTTTTGTATTATTTTAGTAAAAATAGGAAAATTTAGACCATCTAGTTCTAGTATAACCACATATCTAACATGTCTTATATATATCCTATCCCATTAACATGATAATTAATTCGGTCTAGGCCCTTACTAATCCTTCCAATACTAACAAGTTCCTAGACGTAAACGCATCCATCTTGTTGTGGAACTCAGAATCATAGAGGCTATTTACTTCTCATCCAATGGCGCAAATGTAGGAAGGGATATTTTTGTCCAATCATAGCAGCTGTTAAATATTAAACGTCCAATGGCGTGATACTAGCCAATCTTTTTATATTTGTTGGCCCATCGACATATTCTAATGGGCATGCCTTAGAGATGAGAATTGTGGCACTCCGGAAGAAAGAGAGGAAACGAGGTTTCGGTCTATCTTTATCTCTCTCGCGGAGTGATGCGATGCCAGCGCTCATAGTTAAGGGTGAAATAAATTTATATGCCGTGCTTGTCATGAAAACTGAGCGCCAATCATTTATGAGGAAAGAGATAGCGCTAGACCGAAAGCATAGGCCATCTCTCTCACTCTTTTCAAACCAAAATATTACTGCAGATTATACGCGTACGGCATGTCCATTAGTATATGTCGATGGATGGGCCAACGTTTGAGCTCTGTCTCGCCTGGTGGTAAGCGATGATGTGGCCTACGATGGAGCACGTCGACCCATAAACAACCTATTCACTTGGGCCTTGAAGACACCCAGTTTATACCCTTCGGGAGCTACAGACACTATAGTCCATCTGTTTAGGTAATTAACTAAAGGTAAACAAAGAAAACCACGTGACACAGAGATACGTAACCTACTATTACTTCAAATATTTCTCGTGTTTTAATTTTAACTAAATTCACTTTAAAATCGTTCATTTGTCATACACACACATACAAGTACAAATGCCTAAATCGTACAAGAGCCTAGCCTATGGGTCTATTTCATTATCATGTTTAAATAGAAACTATTCTGAATCTGATGTACGGATTTCTTTCTTGTACGGATATCTGTCTTTCGGCCAAGTTTCTTCAATATATTTGAACACATTAATTACAAACGATGATTAACCTAAACTTAAATAACTTAATAACAAAAACAAAACAAAAAAACAAGTTAAATTCAACAAAATAGGAACGCGAGCGCAAACGACGAGAGAGCTGTCAATAGCGCCTGATTAACCGACTAAACGTAATACACGCTACTTTCATTGTCGCGCTACATCTTAGTTGTACTCTTTAATTTGACAACATTATTTTGCTTCGTTCTTAAAGAAACGTTTTGGATACCTGGGATTTTAGGCTCTTTATGGTGTCTATTGTAATGAAATATTATATTATTTAATAAATGTTATTAAATTAATATCCTCAAGCAGATATATTTAATATTTATTAAGAAATAAGTGAAAAGGAACAGAAACATAACATTTAATAGAGAAAACTGTCGTAAAAAGGGAAACAATTTTATTTTAGTATTTTGAATCATGGAAATGTCAACTATAAAGAACTCTTTTTATGGTTTGTTTACAAATAGTTAACTACCTAAACAGACGGAGTATAGTGTCTAAACTCGTTTTAAGTATGAGGCAAAAATATCATTTAATGGATTATTTTGTATGTTCTGACTGTTTTCTAGCAAATCTGAAAATAATTCATGCGCATTACAATTTAGCATTTATTTTATTTGTGTGTGTTTATGTTCAAACGTCCAGTTGTCATGGTTTTTCGTTTACTTCCGATAATTTTAGTCTCAATGTATAGTTTTTGGTGCCTTACTGTTATTAGCTGGTGAAGAGGGACAGCAGAATTGTTGCTTACATTAACATTACTTAAATTAATGTCCAATCAATTATTCCAATTTTACCAAAAAGTAAAGTACCTTACGGATGCCATCAGTTTTCTTTAAAACTATTAAGTACTTTAGATTCCTAGAAAAAAGAATGAGTCAGAAACTCTATCCAAACTAATATAGATCGGATTGTAACAGTATTTTTATTTTTGTAATATGAAACAACATTTTATAAATACAGTACAATAAAACAGTAACCATCAATGGCGGCTAACTTTTTTTTAATGTTAACGTCATACAATATTACGTGTAAATTAAATTAATAAGATAAAATAAAAACTCAATTCCACCATGACTTGCCATATTTAATTGCGTCCTTTGAGAATTGGGGTTTTAAAACACTAGCGACATCTGTTGGTAAGGGTTTGAGACGAGCCGTATTTTTTTATTTTTAGAAAGATTATTTGTTTTTGGCATTTTTGTCCTTTGCCCCGCCAGCTAAAAGCTTAATAATTAAGTTGTATAGAATTGTACATTATGTAATTAATTCATTAATTAATACTTATTATATTGATTTGTATTCAGTTCAATTTATATTGTGATCTAATATAATAATAATAAAATAAAATTTATGTTTTAGTATTCTTGTCTATAACTATTACAGTTGATTACAAAAGTGTTAGAATAAATTTATATTTTTTTATTAATTCAGAAATTATGCATGCAGTTTTAATGTTGTTTTTTAAAGCAATAATTAATATTAAAAGCAATATTTGTTAATGCTTTTGTGTCCAACTGTAAGTTTAGGATTACGTGTTTGTAAATTTATTTTGTGAATATAAATAAATTGATTATTATAGTAATACTATTATGTTAGAACATTGTCCAGCTGTGGACGGTCGCCTACACATTGTATTCCATACATAACGAGAAAATAAATGAATGATTGAAATATATAACTGGTTATGTTATTTGCGTCAAAACCCTTTAACTCGTCGAGTACCGGTTTTATAGACACAATTAAAGAACAATAGGTCGCGGTCACCGGTGACCGCTTGGTGTTTGACAGATTAATATATCAATAAAGAAAATTACTGGATTGTTGTCGAATAAAAGCAAAGGCTATAGGGCATAATACGCCTTTATAATTCTTACAGAACATAACATCACGCCTTTTATCCCCGAAGGGGTAGGCAGAGGTGTACATTACGGCACTTAAACTGTCAAACACCAAGCGGTCACCGGTGACCGCGACCTATTGTTCTTTAATTGTGTCTATAAAACCGGTACTCGACGAGTTAATGCCACTGTACAAGTTAACACCCACTTTTCACTTTTTATGTTATGAGTTCCATGTAATAGTAGTGAGTAATAATAGTGAGCCTATTGCCATATACCGGGCACAATTCCAGACACCGTGCCACTATTGAGATTTTTCTAAAAAAAACCCCAGCAAACTGTCTTTGCCCGACCCGGGAGTTAAACCCGGAACCCCTTGCCCGTCAGCCGCCCTTGCGACAACTCTGCCATCGATACAGGAAGAACTGTCAAACAACCAATAATAAAACTCACCCAGTTTGATGAATTTCAAAAGTAAAAGTCTTCTAATTTGTAACTCAGTCTTGAAAATAAAAGTAATTTTATCCGGAGCTGTGGACGACCTAACGGGTAACCGTGGCTCCAGCTCAAAGTAGGAATAGGAACGGGGTGGTTTTTAGTCAGTAAGGATCTGACACTCCCTCCTGCCTCACCCAGGGCGTGAAAAGTCGTTGGATGATTTTGATGGCCCTCAAAAAAACGGTCCTAGAATTTTGTGAGTTTGGGTTAGAACCAGTGCATGTGGTTTTCTAATTCGTTTTTTTTTTATCCTTAGAAAAAACGTTGCCTCACACTAGGATTGTCTCCTGTGTCGTGGGTGCGTTTACAAACATACAAATTCACATACACATCACACCCAGACCTAGAACAACAATTTGTGGATCACACAAAGTGTTGTTCCGTGCGGGAATCGAACCCGCGACACGTTGCACGGCAGCCGGTTGCCCAGCCACCTCACCAACCGTGCAGTTTGATTATCTTATTAGTTTATGATTTAACTTTCGTAAGACATAGGTACCAAATAAATTTATTATTATTATCACCGCGTCGCGGGTCGCGAAATGCTGTTCATGAATATAACCCTCTAGCGTGGCTTGAAACTAGTCGAGTTCCTCTTCAAATAATTACGTGAGTAAGCCGAAAAACATAATTAATCTTGTTCGTTATTTGTAAGTAGGTACGACACAGAAACAGTGGTTTCTTCTTAATTTTTAAACTGCAGGAAAGTCCTCACTAGGTAATTTACATAACATAACATCAGTCCCTTTTTATCCCCGAGGGGTAGGCAGAAGTGCACATTATGCCACTGTACATTCACCTACAATGTAACACCCACTTTTCACTATTTATAATAGGGGGTGAGCCTATTGTCATATACTGGGCACAAAGTCAAAGTCAAAATCATTTTTTTCAATTAGGCCAGAATGGCACTTTTGAACGTCAACAACAAAATATGCTCATTCCAAGGTGTAGATTCCTATGGAGAAGAACGAGCAAGAAACTCCATAGGTTACTCTTTTTTCAACTCAATTCCAGACTCTGTGCTACTACTGAGAATTTTTAAGAACCCAGTAATACTTTGCCTGACCCGGGAATCGAACCGAGACCCCTTGTCCGGCAGTCGCACTTGCGACCACTCGGCCAACGAGGCAGTCTTTTAATGAATTTATAGGTAATTTCTAAATACATAAAAACGTAATTTATTTATCCTTTCCGTGATCTAAACTAAACTAAAACAAACTAGTTATTTCAATAGCCGAGCACATTAATTGCAGCAGTGATAGACATTGCCCCGCCGACTGCAGCGCGGGTGCGGTCGCGGCGACTGAGCCTCCTACCTACCTACCTACCTACTACTACATTGCAGACTTGTACTTTTATGACGATACGAATACGACTTCGTATTCTATACGACATTTTTAACACCTTACAAGCTTGTAGAAGAGCGAGAACCCCCCGGGATAACCTCACGTAACCGTTGTTTCACGTCGGTTTTCTGCTCGGCTGTGATATCACTCCAGTCGAGCCGGCCAATTCGTGCCGAAGCATAGATCTCCCGCACTTAAACTTTATGCAGGACAAATCGTATAATGTTTTTATTATTTGTTTAATTCCTTTCTTTTTCCCTTCTTATTCCATCAGCTCTTTTTATACCATTCATCACAGAATCTAACTATTTGTTCTTTGGTCACCTTGCCTCGTGTAGCGTTGCAATATCGTATCGTATCCTGTAAAAGATCAGTTACAGCTGAAACATTAAAATGATTGGTATTCCATATTTCAGAGGCGCGCCCATCTTGCGGGAATTAATAACGGCGTATCTAGATAATGTAGGTTACCTATGTTTATACTAGATTTTAATAGATTACCTTATAAAATGAGTGATTAATTAATTTTCACTATATTTTCCCAGTTGTTGTATGGGTAACTAGATATTTTTCTAATTAATGTTTTTTACTATGTGTTATTTTTATAGCATAAGCCGGTAAACGAGCAGATGGATCACCTGATGGTAAGCAACCCTTGGACACCCGAAACACCAAGGGGTTACAAGTGCGTTACCGGCCTTTTGGAAATTGGGAATTTGAAGATTCGGGGATTCGGGAGATTAGGAAGGGGGGTAATTGGGCCTCCGGTGTGTCATTATCATCTAACCAAAAATGTATAGGTAGCTGTGACTTCTAGATCAGCAATGACCCTTCCAACTGCGTAACTCAATGAGCAAGTCGGCAGACATTTTGTAATAAGAGATACTCTTCTACTCTCGTCGCACGATGAGATTAAACACATATTCCTTTAGTGTCGTAATTGAAGCTTGTAATTTATCGCGCGAGCACTGGATAATCTCGTCGTGGGACGAAATTGCATCGTACGATGGTTAGCCAAACAGGACACCTTAGACTAAATAAAACTTGGGTCTGCGGACAACCAGAACTAGACCCGACCGAGAAGTCATTCGATGATTTTCCCCCCTTAAAAAAAGACTAGATACAACTTACGATAAGTTCATGTATCACGACTACACCAACAAATCTAACCACGTAAGAACACGCCGTCACATTCGTCTTTCAAAAAATACCAATTTCAATGTAATACGCAATTTACAACATAACTCCCTAAAACAATTCAATAAAGCGAATATTACAGCTGTTACATTAGAAATATCCTTCGACACAAGGTTTGAGTACAGTCCACCTTTATAAACCACACACATCGATATTAATATCACCTTTACTGACTGAAAAATAAGGTTGGTTTTCGAGGTGAATGTTGTATGCGAGGTGGACTGTACATGACCCTGAAGGTACCGTTATGGGACTACATTAGTTGTGTTAGACTTAATAAACTAAGGTACTTAGAATTCGACTTTTTTGCTAACTTATTACTGTGTGGTGTACGTATGTTGTTGCGGTTATTGAGTGAATGAGAACTTATTTCTTGTATAATAAATTAAGTTGGTTTTCATGACCGATTTGTTACGGATTGAAACTTGTTCATACATAATTATAAAATCGGAAGAAGTAAAGACAATCATCATCAAAAATTCATGATAGTTTACTGCTGGACTAAAGGGCTCCTAGCTGCATTAGAGGGCTTGCTATTAGTTTTACTTTACGCTTTACAGGTTGGCAGAAGACGGCAATTTAAAAAGTTAAGATTAGATATGGAATTGTGCCCGGTATATGGCAATAGGCTCACCCCCTATTACATGGGACTCATAACATAAATAGTGAAAAGTGGGTGTTTAATTGTATAGTGGCATTAAGTGCCGTAATGTGCACCTCTGGGATGAAAAGGCGTGATGTATGTTATGTTATTAACCAGACAGTGCCGTGAGTGTTGAATTAGTAGTATTTTTACTGTAATTACCCCATAAATGTGTTTTAATTTTTCACTGACGTTTTTCTGGTATTCGTCCTAAAAACAACATCGATAACAGTATATTTATCACCGAAATAACTTAACCCCTCGAGCGTCCTTATGAGCACCCGGTGGATCATAAGAAAAAATGCTCCATGCTGCTTTCTCTTTTATAAAATCTATTATTAATGTTTTGTTTTTATTTTGACTGTATTTTTTATTTCTATTGTAATGATCCTTGTTTCCGTGTGCCAATGGCCAAATAAATGCATTTTCTTTCTTTATTTCTTTCTTTCTCCAAATGTCACGTGTGCACCCGTTGGATCATAAGGAACGCGGACGCTCGACGGGTTAAGGACAGAGCTACATATGTTTACAAAGTAATAAGACCCAAAAGACTGCTCCTCTAAAAGAAGGCCAGCTTGAATATCGTACATCAGAGATTTGCAAATTAGCCACAAGTAGCTCGCTGCTGCGGTACGCCACGCACCGCAGTTTAACATCAACTAACACATTGTTACGTACTCAACTACGCGAAACTCTTAATTAATGTAATTTTTTAAATACTTTCATATGCTCAACAGTACAAGGTTTCTTGTTCAATCGAAATGTTGACCTTACTATTATTTCGAATTGTATTCGTTACGTGTATGTAAAGATTTTGCAGAAATTAACCATCTTTTTCTGCAGAAAATAGGTTTCGATGAACTATTATAATAAATAACCTCATTTCTAAAAAAAAACCAGAAAAGCTGTTGCCCTCATTCCGTTTAGAATCGGATAAAGTCATCACATACAACGTACTTTCCGAACATGACATCGTAACCTAAAATAGCGCCAATAACAGTAAAATCCGCTGCCGAACGCACCTTGGCGTAATTAAAAAACAAAATTATTCCACCCCATGTGATTAACAGCACACCCCCGTGCCTGCCACCCACTCGCCCCCCATTTCTTCACACAATGGTCAGTTGTAACACAACTGCCTTCTAAGACATAGCGTAGCCTTAGAAACTGGAAACAAAACAATAATAAACAACTATTTTTTAACAAAAAAATAACCAAAATATTCCCAACAATAAAATCAGTGCGATAAAAATATTAAAATGTCCAGTTTTTTAGTGTAAAAGTGATAAATATGCAAAATTTTCGCATCATGGCTGAGAAACTGAAATATAACCTTCATACGTACTTTTTTCACAAGGAAACAATGTTTAATCTGTTACATTAATTTTATGTGAGTGTGTGAGTGGCATTCTAAATTCGAAAATGACAGCAACGATTTATTTTCGCGCCAGAAAATTAAAAATGGTGGCAATTTACGTTTTATATTATGTGTTTAAAATAAAATTGAAATGATGACGTTTTAAATAAGTGGTATTGTAAAAATATTAGCAAAAATGTGAACTAGTGACATGGAATCATTGTTTTGTAATTGAATAATACTGTTTTAGTGTGTGTTGTGTGAGCATAAATTGGATTTAAATAATTTTATTTAGTAAGTATGCTCTATTTATTGCTTTATTAAATTCTATGTGAATAATAATTTCTACAAAAGTAGTTTCAGACTAGAAAGGTATTAGAAACGCGAATCTAAATTATACAGTTTCATGTTCTAGTTTTCCAAGGGTCGTATTTTATCTTTTAAACTCATAAACATAGTTTTGTTAAACTTAGAACATGCATATTTATATTCTGACGTTAACAACTTTGAAAGTATTCACTTTGATATTGTGGGCATAACTTGCCGTTGATGTTTTCAGATCTGTTTTTATCTACACTGTTTGTATCTACATACTTTTTTAAAAAGAGTAACGAATGGAGTTACTTGCTCGTTCTTCTCCATTCGAATCTACATTTTGTAATGAGCACCTAGCTTCACCTAGCTTCACTGACGGACTGACTGACAGACTATTATTTATCTTGTATTTGTTGACATTTCAAAAGTACTAAATTATGGTTTAATTGAAATAAATGCTTTGACTTTGACTGTTTAACAATTATTTGAAGACGTGTACAGGCCTATTTATATTAAAACAATATCTCATTCCGTAGGATTTAGATTTAGATTAAGATCGGTTTAGAATATCGGATTACAGGTCGCTGTGTAAAAGATAAAGATTTATATGAGAGCGCTGCTGCCCGGTATCTTTGTCTATTTTCTTGCCTAGTTGGCTCTTGAGACTCACGCGGAAAGAATGACCCGACACACGACAAGGATTGAATTTACTAACTATAGAATAATTATCAAGAATCATGAGATCTCTGTAAACTCTATGCAGACCTTGTGTTGAGCTAACCTTGCAGAGTTCGAAGCCACTGCATCGTCTAGACTAGACTAGTCCTTAAGTCAAGGTGTACTAAATCTATATCTATATATATAAAAGAAAGTCGTGTTAGTTACACCACTTATAACTCAAGAACGGCAGAATAGATTTGGCTGAAAATTGGCAGGGAGGTAGCTTAGAGCCAGGAGACCGACATAGGAGACTTTTTAACCGAATTTTTTTTTTTACTTTTTACCGAAATCACGAACGGGGATGGGAAAAAATGGGATTAAGCGTACGAAGTCACGGGCAGAAGCTAGTTAATAATAATTACCTGATTTATGTCTTGTCGCCACAAATGTTTTTTTATTCATTGAAGTAATAGAAAGTAAAGATGTTCATTTGTAATTAACAACATAACATCACGTCTTTTATTCTCGAAGCAGCAGAGGTGCACATTACGGCACTTAATGCCACTGTACAATGTAACACCCACTTTTGATTATTTATGTTATGAGTCCCATGTAGTAGGGGGTGTAATGTGCACCCCTGCCTACCCCTTCGGGGATAAAAGGCGTGATGTTATGATGATATGTGTATTTTTCAAAAACATGCCATAATTCAGGATTTCTGAAATATTTTAGACTTTTACTTCTATTCACATGCACGCGCTATTTTTGCATTAATTAACTGTGCATTATATCTACCTTTAAAAATAATGAGTCTGTATCTTCTATAGACGTGTTATCGTGATATTAAAAATGTTATATTTTGTCCGAGTTGATAAATTGTTTTAAAGTTATACCCAGATTACGATTAACTTAATCAATACAATAAATAAAAATCAAAACAAATTCGAAAGCCACCTTCAAAATCCGAGTCATTACAGAAATAATCGATTTTTAACACCCGATGGGTATAAGTAATTTCGCACGCCAGACTTAGATTTCAATATTGAAAGTAACTATTTTATTTGAGTCACAGTAAATTACTTTCATTATAAAGTTTTCAATACATCTGTTTTTATATTTCAAATGTCGTTTAAGGTTAAAAATTAAAGGTCGACTGTTTAGCGTAGTACTAATTATTTTGCGTTGCTCGCTAAAACAGTGCTACGCGGCGTAGCAATTCGTAGCCATTTTGCTACGAAATTGTTTAACATTTTAAATTAGTTTTAGATTTTCCTGTATGATATTTTATTTTTATTGCTACTGCTGAAAAGCTTAGCTAGGCATATACTTCCCGATAAACACTAAATAACATTACACCTTCTTTTCGCTGATAAGACAAGCAGAGATGCTTATTTTCTCACACATAAGTATTTGACAGTCAGCTACGATACACAAATAAAAACTTATTGTAAAAAATAACAAAATACCCTAATATTACTTTATAACTCACTATCGAGTGGAGCCCGCTCAACGTCAGTAGACGTCGTGGCAATCCCTGACAGAGATGGTGGGATGAGTTTGACACAATCAAAAGGATTGGCCACAGAAGGCTCTACGGAGAGAGGAGTGGAAGGAGTACCCTTTGCCCTGCAATGGGACGACCGTGGCTAATAAAAATATATATTAGGTACTTTAATCACCTCATTCCGAAGTCTCAAAAATTTAAACAAAAAATATATGTGGATCATCTGCAAAATCATAAAATTTTTGGTTTTATTTAAAAATATGGCTGGGAGAGCCATGCTAAGTGTGGGAGAGCCATGCTTCGGCACGAATGGGCCGGCTCGACCGGAGTGATACCACGACCTCACAGAAAACCGACGTGAAGCAACGCTTGCGTTGTGTTTCGTCGTGTGCGTGAGGTTACTGGTGGCCCAATTACCCTCCCCTTCTTCAATCTCCCCAATTCCCGAATCCCCAACGATCCTCAAACTCCTAATCCTCAACAGGCCGGTAACGCACTTGTAACGCTTCTGGTGTTCCAGGTGTCCATGGGCGACGCCAATTGCTTACCATCAGGTGATCCGTCTGCTCGTTAACCGGCTTTGTTAAAAAGAAAAGTAAATATTCAAATACTCTTATTAAAAAATAAAATGTATGCTTTAGTTTGCCAGTATATTAGTAAAGTGAGGTGTGAGTCTTAGTAATTAGGTGTTGGGGTGCGGTAGCGCAGTTTATGCAGTTTGTCAAGGCTGCTGACCTTGCCAGCTCACGTGTTCACTAAATGGAAGCTCTTGCACTGTTCACTTGATAGCTAAGTCTCAGTTTTGTGACTGAACAATAATTCTATTCTGTCATCATTTTTTTATGGGATAAGCCGGTTAACGATCGTACGGATCACCTGATGGTAAGCAATCGGCGTCGCCCATAGACACCTGAAACACCAGATGCATTACAGGTGCGTTACCGGGCTTTTGAGAATTGGGAGTTTCACCCTTTGAGTACCGTCATTATAGACACAATTAAAGAACAATAGGTTTCGGTCACCGGTGTCCTTGCGGTGTTTGACAGTTTAAAGACTGAGGGGGATTTGGGGATTGGGGAGACTGGGGGGGAGGGGTAATTGGGCCCCCTGTAACCTCACTCACATTACGAAACACAAGGTGTGATGTAGAAACCGTAGTCTCCTCTTTATAATATATTTTAGTCTACAACTATACATAAATATACATAAATGATTTCTTTAGTGTAACTGTAGACCAAAGCTTACACTTATAACAAAACACTTCAAACTAATCAGAGAGTCATCAGGAATCCCTTCTGCGCAGGCGTGCCACTTACACGTGTTACAAGCGCATCAGGTATTCGTGACTACTGCCTACCTACTTCTACATTAACGGCAATATACAGTGTGTAATCCATAGACTACTGTAGAGGTATCTACATTATTCTTCTTGAAAGAACTAAGTTTTGATCATAATTAAAGCTTAAGCTTCCTTATGCGTACCTACTGCTAAGGACGTGAATTTTTTGCCAGAGTCAGTATTTCCTGAAGGGCATAACCTGGATGTCTTTAAGGCCCGAGTGAATAGGTTGCTTATGGGACGACGAGCTCCATCGTAGACCGCATCATCGCTTACCACCAGGCAAGACGTCGACCCATCAAATATAGAACAAAAAAAATGTTGGCTTGCGTTAATTTTGATCCAAAAATTTAATTATCATAAAGAGCACTTTTACATCAAATATCATGTCTCTAAGCTGTGCGCTATTTGTAGTTTAAATTGTAATACTTACTTAATTCATAAAATTTTTCGTCGATTTTACTTTTTATTTTAGCGTTCATTGGAATTCCCGGTTTAATGGCATTTACATACATCAAACTCAGCTAATAATAAACATATTAACGGTTAGTTAAACCAACCCCCATGGCACAATAGCATTATATTTAGGGCTAGGAGTACGTACAAAATGAACATATACACATTATCTACATGCTTGAAACCCCTCTCGACTCGACTCCAGCTACAAACTACAAGTCATCGGCAGTGTGTCGATGTATCGTGTTGAAAGGCTCGTCCTACTTCAGCCCTATCTGCTATCTGTTACACTATTAATCATTGACGCCTTCACGGAAATTTCATACACAAAATATTGGGAAAATATTTGGTAAAAGGAAATGAGTAAAAATTGCATCAATAAAACTATTTTAGGCTAATCATTTTTAAGTTATTGTTAAGTAAGTCAGATCTAATAAATACATAAAAATCTCGTGTCCATCTCACCAACTGTCAAAAGGCATTGGAACCGACACATTTCTTTCATTTCTTCTACACTTATTTAGTCCTTTATAAATCGCTGTCTGTGTGAACTTAGATTTTTATCATTTTTCGGAAAGTACATTAATCTCGTCGTATGTACATAGCCAAGTACTTTCTTAGAACATATCAAAATAGCAGTATATATAACTAGTGATCGATGCTGCTATTTTACTAGTTATTCTATAATGCTTGTAGAATACCCATCCAAGTTTTTTTTATGGCAAAGGCCGGTAAACGAGCAGACGGATCAGCTGATGGTAAGCAATCGGCGTCGCCCTTGGACACCTGGAACACCAGAGGAGTTACAACTGCGTTACCGGCCTTTTGGGGATTAGGAGTTTGAGGATCGTTGGGGATTCAGGAATTGGGGAGATTGGGGAAGGGGAGGGTAATTGGGCCTCGGTAACCTCACTCACACGACGAAACACAACGCAAGCGTTGCTTCACGTCGGTTTTCTATGAGGCCGTGGTATCAATCCGGTCGAGCCGGCCCATTCGTGCCGAAGCATGGCTCTCCCA